GGTGTGGGCACAAGCCAGCGGCAGAGTGACATCGGAGGACCAGGGAGGCATTGCTGAGCAGTAAGATTTTCTTATGGAGCAGGACATCGAGTTTCAGACAGGGTCTGCTATCGAACTTGCAACAGCCTGCGCCAAAAGGCAGGGGGGGCAGATGGTAGGTTGTGTAGACCTCCATGTCCAGGGTGCCCTGGAGGCTTCCCCTGGAAACTGACCATATGTTCCTTAATCTTCCTGTCTAAACACTAAGCCATAGAATTCCCTGTACGCCTGATATTCTGTGTACTGTGTCACCAAACCGCCATGGTGCGCTGTGACCTGCTGCCGCTGTGGGGCCTGCTACTATCTTGTTTCGACGGTAGGTGGCGGAGGAGGCAGCGTAGTGGAGCCACCTTGAGATGAGTGACACCTTGCACTCACGGCGGTGTGGACTCTGGCTTCAGGAACTGCTGGCTCCCAGAGCAGCTGGGGCTGCATTGGCCCAGGGACGAGGTGCTGACTGCGTGAGACACGAGAAGGGGGCTGACGGCTGACGACGCCCAGGCGTCAGGGGACAGGCAGGGAGCCGGGTGGACTTTGGGATGCTCACCAAGACGGGACCGCCATCCACTGCAAGCTGGACCCGCTGGGTGACAGGCAACGCACATGGGAGACAGAGGTACGCCAGATGTGCCACCTTTGTGTTCTCTTGTCTCTCACTCTGGGAGAGGTGGAACCCTCTGTGCTGCTAACCTCAGAAGGTCCTGGAAGATGTCTGCGAGGTTTCAAGGACTGGTGAGCTGCGTTTCCGGAGCCAGAAGGTTCCTGGGAGTGATTGAGCCTGAGCCACAAATGGTCGAGGGCAAGCCTGTGTTTAGGGTTGATCTCTGGAGGAAGTGTTGGGCTGGAACTAGACCTTGAGCCTGGCACTAGACAATGGGGGCCTGCGGCAGGTCCTGGCGATCCCAGGCTCGATGGATCCCAGCCATCTTCTTATTGGTTTCTGTTTCCTTCGTTGAGGTGTGCTGTTCTTGAGGATGGGGCCTAGGTTCTCGAAGGGACTGTATGCAGGATACCGGTGATAATTTCTCTGTCTGCCTTACATTACACTGCCGGTTCTTTTTGTGAAAACGGAGGATGGGGGAGATGATGGATTTCTTTGTTCTGATTAGAAATGTAAAACATGCTCATAGAGGAAAACGTATAAGAGGATAAAGATAAGACAACATTCACTGTAATCATACCCCCCAGAGTTAATTACTCTCTACCTCATGTGTTCTGGGATCCACATTATACAACCAAATCTCTCCTGACACATAACAGTGATTGTCTGTCTGCATATCATGGTGAGAGAATATAATGTATTTAAGCAGTCTTATATTGTTAGATACTGAACTTAGTTTCCTACTTTTCCTGGCATAAATAATATATCAGCAAAGATTCTGTAATAAGGTTTGTTCACATCCTTAGCAATGTTATTCAAGTAAAGTAAAATAAATGGATCAAAGAATACTCTTGAAGGCAATGAGTGGTTTTGTGTGCGGGAAGGACTAATATTGCCAGGCCTTTTTATCTTTCCAATATTGCTACATTCAAACTCTGTCTAACTGCATCCTCAGCCCTGGTCCACTGAAAACCGTGGCCCTGCTGACCTTGGGTTTGTAGGTGGGGAAGTCAGACTATTTCAAATCCTCCATGTTGTGTTCTTGTTCCTGCATATGAAGCAGACAGTCTCAAGAAGGCTTAGTGTGCTGGGGTGCCGTTAGGTGATGTCAAGGGTGACTTTGGGGAGAGTGGAAGGAGAGGTTGACACTGCCTAGGGCCATGGGTGCTATCTGGACACTGGTGTGGCCTCAGCCCTCCTCCCTTGTCAGGCGTTGTGTCTACCCCATTGTGAACTTTGGAATTCACAAGTAAAGATGGTCAACTTAGCTTCCTGAGCAAATATTGCCTCAAAATTGGTGCATGTTGCATCACAGCCTGTCCCCTGATGTCCAAAGGTGGCCTGTTCTCTATGCTCCCAGTCTTTGGATTTTAATTGTGTCTCTCCCAACCAGGTTATAGAAAACAATTATTCATGGGCTTTTTGTCTTTCCCTTTTATTCCTTCTATTCTTTTCTTTCTCTCTCTTTTTTTCTATTACCCCATTCCTCTTTTGCTTACTATCTCTGTCTCTGTCCCCTAATGAGATATTTGATGAGTACTCAATTTTCTCCAACTCTGTCCATACATTTGAAAGTTGGCTTTATTGCATATTGGGTTCCAGGAACTGGGATTACAGTTCACAAGGACTATCCCTAACCTCTAATAGCTTGAGGAATATGCAAACCCTACACCCCTAATTTACCACATCCTCATTTCCTCCCCTCATTCTTTTCCCTATACCTGTGGCACATTCTTCTTGACTCCATAAATAAACT